GTTGGGATCAATTTCATTATGTCATGACAAGAGTAAGACCGAATTTCAGAATCAGCAGGGCATCTGCGAGTGATGGAAGAAATCCCTGAAATTCGACGTGGCTCCGATTCAGCTTTGTCGCAGTTCCTCCGCGGAGACTTGCAAATCGACATGCCTGATTTCGTCGACACGAGTGTGTTTAAGACTATTTTCAACCAAGCTCGTAGAACTCCAGCCAAAGGCGAGGAGCGGATGACAACTGTTCGATGCTTACAGGTTTCTTCATTGGTTTAAAGCGATTGTTATGCATTACGTAAAGGATGAGTTTTTACGTTCTTTATTGTAGATATTGAAAGAGACTGTTGGGAAGAGAAAAATTTCGAAGAAGCCAACGACAGTGTCGCGACAATTCGAGTACTCATTAAGTCGCTTAATGAACACTCTCGCCCATTCGTCGCCTTACTTCATTCGCTGCATCAAAAGTAACAACGATAAGGTAAGGGGGGAGTGTTTGTGAAAATGGATGTACACATGATGCCTGCATTGAAATATTTCAGATCCCCAACCATTTCGATGATAACATCATCCTTCGCCAGCTTCGCTACACGGGAATGCTGGAAACGGTTCGGATTCGAAGAGCTGGTTACAGTGTGAGAATTGAATGGGATGTGAGTTACATCAAGGCATTTTACCCTGCTATCATATTCAAAGCTAAACTTCCTTATAGGCCTTCATCCAACAATACAGAATTTTGCTGAAGAAAGGGCTTGCTAGCACAAAAGATGATGTAAAAGACTTTCTCAACAATCATCCATCCATTGCTGTGGAGAACATCCAGTATGGCGTGAGCAAGGTAAAATGGCTTATCGCTCTCTCTTCGCCCATTGAGTAAGATAGTTCAGATCTACATGAGAGACGCGGAAAAATTGATACTCGACGATCACCTCCATAAAGTGATTATGCAACATATCGGTAATTGATACACATACCCACGTAGGTTTTCACCTTTGATAAATGCTTTAGAAACACTACAACGTTGGTTTCGTACCATGATCGCTAGAAAACGCTATCTGCGGCTGAGGCAAGGCGTCATTAAGATACAGGCAAGATTCTTAGCATTTTTCACGTGTTTAAAGGATTAGACTCTCAATCATGTGCCGAAAGAATTTATCTATGAGATTTAGGCCTTGGTGAGGGGGGTCTTGGCAAGAAACCAACTGAGAAAACAGGCTTATGCTGCGCTCGTTATTCAATCCAATTGGAAGAGGTTTGGAACTTCTTAAATCAGTGCAAAATTGTGAATAAACAAACTTCTTAGATATCGCGAAGAGAGACGCTACAGGCTATTAAGAGATGCTGTCATCGCTCTACAATCCGCATACAGAGGTAGAGAAGCTCGGAAGAGGTTAGTCATTTTTCATTCTCTCATGTGAATGAAAATCAGGAAACTTGCTTGGGTAGGATACCTTAGCAAGTGAGTGCCTTGGTTTGAATTTTACCATTATTAAAGCATTAACAACAAAGTATGATCTTCTTTCATGCTCTTGCATCAGATGTTATCCTTTAAATGGTTATCACGAGAGCTCTAGCAGCTTGCTCACACACGATATTCAGGTTGGGCGAAATCCCCAGATCTCGAGATCTTGCTAAGATACGAGTGAAGAGAATCCAAGCGGTCAAGCTCCCAGTGTTCGATCTCAACGATCCTCAATCGTTAGCAGCTTTTGCCGGCAGTGATGATGACTTCAGCAGGCATGCACAGTATCTCTGCATTTTCATTTAAGACTATTTATGGAACTTGCAACTTAAAGAAAAGTTTTTTCGAAATCATTTTATTTGATGTCGAAGCAAGATGAGCTATTGAAGGAAAATGAAGTTCTTGAAATTTAGCGAAGAATTGTCAACGGAAGATGGCCTGGACGACGACGTCTCCGAGACTAGTGTGTTGG